ATCGTGCCGGATGATAGCAGCGACGAGGTGCTCGACGCGTACATCCGTGCCAACCTCCGAACGTGCCTCCACTACACGTCAACGTGCCGCATGGGCGCGACGACGCATGCGGAGCGCCCGAGCGTGGTGGACACGGAGCTGAGGGTGCATGGCGTGAAGGGGCTGAGGGTGTGCGACGCGAGCGTGTTCCCGGAAATTGTTGGGGCCCACACGATGGCGCCGACTGTTATGGTCGCGGAGAAGTGTGCAGATCTGATCAAGGCGTCCAAGTGAACGTCTCTCTATGGTATCTGAGATTTGCTGTCTACGTTCACGCTCGCGGGCATGCGGTGTGAGAGTGCTTGTCTTGTGACCCCTGCTACCGTAAGTTGCCGAAAGCGAACTCGTCGACTGCACACACCTCTTCTATCGATCCTATCAGCTACCCTTATCACGCCATGTCTTATAGCGACGGTGCACGGCCTCCGAAGCGCACTCGGGCGGAGGTGGAGAACGAGAGCGACCTTGATTCTGTCTCGCAGCGACAGGGCAACGAGGACTCCGCACAAAGCGGTGTGAAGCGTGACGAAGAATTCTGGTTCCACGACGGGAGCGTGGTCATACGCGCGGGAGAGACAGCCTTTCGTCTCTTCAAGGGGCTCCTGGCTGCGCAATCTCCGGTGCTTCACGACTTGTTCTCTGCTCCCAACTTCGCACCCGACGAGTATATCGATGGCGTTCCTGTCGTGCGCGTCTTCGACGCTCCAGAGGACTGGCGCTACCTACTGCGCATCCTGGTACCGAAGGGTGAAATGATGTGAGTACTTGTGGCCAATTGCCTTGGTGGTCTGTCGACTCACCGCGTCTTCTCATCTACAGCATGTTAGAGACCATAAGAAGTCTGAAGGACTTTCCTTTGGTATCGGCACTGATACGCCTAGCGCACAAGTACCAGATCGGCAGCCTCGAGCAACGCGCGATCGAAGCCCTGAAGAGGATGTACCCGAACACCTTCGAGTCGTTCGTCCAAGTTCAGAGTGAAGTCTACCCGGCGGACGCCAACAACGCTCGTCAACTTGCGTCAAACCCGCCGGTACTGGCCACGTATGCCATCAGCGCTACCAACCTTGCGCGACTTACCAACACCACTTCCGTCCTTCCTGCTGCTCTCTACCATTGTGTCTGCCTGGGAGGCGCCGTTGTCAGAGGCTTAGTTCGCGAGGGCGGGCCCGTGGAGTTCCTCAGCGAAGCGGATCTCGCCATCTGCATCAACGCCACGAGCCTGTTGACCTGTGCATCCGCGGAGTACGTCGACTCGATGCAGTGCTCGCTATCTTACACATGCGGAACCCCGCACGTGTGTGGGCGTATCTGGAATGAGACGATGAAGAAGCTCAAGGAGGAGTGGCAGTTGAGACTTGGCAGCCACGCTCTGCGGGGCTCGGCCCACGACTACCGCGAACTCTGCACAAGTTGTCTGGTACTTGCACAGAAACGTGACCTGGCGGAGCGGAGGCAGGTCTGGCAGAGGCTGCCGAAGCTCTTGGACATTGCAGACGTTGTTGGTCCATGGCCCGTCAAAAAGCGGTTGTAGGCATTTTGTTGCGGATGCTACAAACGTATCGTTCTCCATGCAGATCCCATTGTATGCTCGTGGAAAGACTACTCTCCTCAGGCTTCCAACGTGCGCTGTTCCTTGTACAGAACTAAGTTGTTGAGTTACGGTGCGAGTTCATGCGGAGAATGTGTCGGCATGGAGTACCCAGAGGTTTGCATACCTCGTTGTGGTCTTTACCGGCATGGCACAAAGGACAACATTTCCCATAAGATACAAGCCAACGAGAGACGTTGAAGTGCCCACACCAGTGCGCTCAATCGCACTTGCAAGACTTGCCTTGCATGCTATCAGTGGTATGGGCTAGTGCGGTGCTGGGCAACGCCTCTCCAAGCTGCAGTCAGCACCGCGGTATCTCTCATCTCGAGGTGTCCTCGCCACAGAGATGCCGGTCAAAGAAAGGAGGGGCTGTAACTATGTCACGGATGATCGCGTTCGCGGCGCGAAGATATGGTAGACGCTGATTTGACTCCTTCGGCGGCGGCACACATGAGGGTCGGCTTAGAGGCGAGCTGATCGGCATGAAGGACACGTCGCGATCTATGTACCTCGACACCCCAGAGTCATGTCAGACCAGCAGTCGTAAGTGAATTCGTGTGATATAGCAGAGTGCGTCATTAGGAAATGCAAGGCAATGCTACATACAAGCAGGACCCCTTGCCCGCCGCGGGCCAAACACCATCGTCCGACCCGTACCGAGAGCACACCCGACGACATTCACGAAAAGGAGGTCGGATAAAACTGCAATTTCGCAAGCTGGATGGCATTTTTGACGCACCGTCCAACCACCGTGGAGACTAGTAGGTGCAGTCGCGTCCATCGACTCGGATTCCTGTGCGGGACATGCGAATGAAGCTACGGACCACCGCTCCAACGGACTCTGCCACTAGCAATTGGTAATACAGGTGCCGTGACGCTCTTGTGCTCGACAAGTGGGGTAGATCTAAAATCAGATGGTGCCCACTAGAGTGCCATCCGGAAGATCGCGAAATAGGTAGGAGATCACCCTCAAGGTTGACTGTTACTACACATTCACAGAGCAGAATCAGAATATATTTTTGATCATGATGACGGTCAAATTTCTTAGAGGCATCGACGTGACGGAGTCGAACCAGGGGACATGCGAACTCGTCGGCGGCCACTGTGCTCGAACTTCAAGATATTGGACACTACTTGAGTGTTGGTAGCGCGAGAAAGCGCCGTGGACGTCGCGTCTGTTTGCCTTTATTTGTGAGTGGCATTGTTCGCAGGCATTCACACGTCATGGACTTCCCGGTTATCTCGGGCTCAATAGTAAGGTCAGCAATCGAGTCCGAACATACTGTGAATCTCCTTGACATCGCATCTCCGTCATCTGACGGACTGTCTGATTAGACTTCGTATAGCATCGTCTCCTGAAAGTACCACTGCAGTCTGCCACCGTGCCACGTCTGCCGCTCCATTCCTGAGATTCTTCCCAGCGTACGTTTATAGCCGCATCCTACAGTCATCCTCCGCCTTCTCCCATAAGCTAGCGCAACTATTGCCGTTGGATGGTATTTGACAGATTGACCAATATCGAAAAGTCAAGCACACGGCCAAAGGTACTACGATATGGGGAAGGAGCCTGAGTTAGGCCCTCAAGACGTCGGGGCGGCCGTTCCCTTCAATACTCAAGTCTTTCCGGAGAGCTATACATACGACTACATCATTGTGGGAGGTATGCCACCTATTTACAGGTTGCTGGATGTCTCACATTCCTCCAGGTGGAACGGCAGGATGTGTCCTTGCCTCACGACTCAGCGAAGATCCCACCGTGTCCGTGCTACTCATTGAGCAAGGTCCAGTGGCTGACACGTGGGGGTCCCGGGTGCCCGCCATGTCCGCGAACCTATACAGCACGGACAGCGTTGCGGCGCAGTGGTGGTCGTTGCCATTGTCTCACGTAAATAATCGCAGTCTCGGCCTCATACGTGGTGAGGCTCTCGGGGGAACGTCTCGCATAAATAGCATGTTATACACTCGCGGTGGGCTTTTGGTCATTCCCTCAGGTCGTCTGTTCATACTAAACAAATCTCATAGGCCCACCTGGAGACTACAACCAATGGCAGGCCCTTGGGAATGACGGGTGGAGCTACGAAGATCTGCAGCCATATTTTATCAAGTCCGAAAATGCTCGGACACATCGGGAAGCAAAACATCGTGGAAAGAACGGTATGTGTTTTACATCGCCATCGGGGGGCTAACTTTTCAGACCATCTACAATCGTCAGGCGTGTGGCAGAATCGACAGTTCGGAACTCCGCAGTACCGCTCGGTATCTTTGTAAGTGGGGCATATCATGATTGTGTCTGTACTGACAGTGATTGCAGGGTACAGCGCGCCTTAGAGGATATCGGGATATGCACGTATCCCGATTTGAACTCGCCTGAGATGCCTTCTGCGGCGCAGGGAACATTGGACATCACCCAAGATGACAGCTACCATCGACACTCGACGAACCGCGCCTTTCTCCCCCCACAGCTCGTTCGGGAGCGGCATGACCGCCTGAAGATATGTGCGGAGACCCTAGTGACTCGTGTCGCTCTCTGTACAGAGGGAGATGAGGTGCGCGCTGTCGGTGTCCACTTTGAGGCGACGAACCCGAGGAAGGCGTGGAAGCGGTACTTCGCCAAAGTTAGACGGGAGGTCGTGCTTTGTTCAGGTGCTCTCGGATCGCCCCAGATCTTGATGTGCAGGTAAGACCCATTATCATCGCATAATCTCACCGCAATCGCAACTGAAGCTGTCATCCGCAGCGGGATTGGTCCTAAAGAACATCTGTCGGAGAAGGGTGTCCCGGTCATTCGAGATGTCCCTGCGGTTGGAGCTTACTTGGTACGTTACGACGAATTTCTCGGAGCACAATTCTGAGGGAAATCAGCAGCAAGATCACATAGGCGTGCCGCTGACATACGAGGTGCCCCTATCTGAATCTCTGCACCAGCTCGAAGCGAACCCTCTCAAGGCGCTCCAGGAGTTCATCAAGTATCTTCTCACTGGCCGTGGGATGCTTTCCCATCCGTTCCAAGAAGCGTCTGCATTCGTCCCAACATGGCTGCTCAAAGATGACTGCAGCCTCCCTATTGTTGACCTCCGTGAGCTCGACGCGACCGTGCCTGAGAACCGTGCCGACCTTGAGCTCATGCACCTTGGGAACAACTGCACCGACGCTGACATTCCTGGTAAAGGTCTCTCGACCCTGCTGCCAACCCTAATTCGTCCCAAGTCGCAGGGCTCTGTCCGACTTGCCACGAGCAACCCACGGGCCCGTCCAGATGTCGATCTCAATTACTTCACGGACCCCGAGGATTACGTCCCCCTTCGGAAGGGCGTGCGTCTCGCTCTCCGCGTTGCTGCCGACGTACGGAAGCAGGGGTATCCTCTACAGGACCTTATCGTCCCGACTGGGACTAGTGATGAGGAGATCGACCAATTCATTCGCACCAACCTGCGCACGTGCTTCCACTACACGTCGACGTGCCGTATGGGCGCTGCAATTGATGGAGAGCGTCCGAGCGTCGTGGATACGAGGTTGAGGGTGCATGGAGTGAAGGGCCTTCGCATATCCGACGCATCTGTGTTCCCTGAGATTGTATGTGCTCATACGATGGCCCCGGTGGTCATGGTTGCAGAGAAGTGTGCGGTTATGATCAAGGAGGAGGCGCAATACATGCATTAGGAGGGGGACCTTCACGAGATGACTGCACGTCTGTTCAATTGTTGGCTAGATTTTCGAGAGCCCGGTGCTGCATTGAACGATCATATTCTTTCTTCCTGTAGTCCGCTCAAGCCTGTCAACATGTACTGACTGGGTACACTCGCACGGGGAGTTGGTAAGCGAGCCCGAGATGTTCTATACAATCTCATAAAGGAAATGCAATGCAAACCGTGTATGTGACGGGGCGGATCAAGCATGCGTTATCTGATTCGATGAACAACGCCTAGTAGAGGCATAACAGCATGGTCGAGACACACTAAGCGTGTAACCTGATTCTCTACATCATCGCTTGATGTCCGGTCCTGTGGGTCGCCCGCAATTCCCCCGTGGCGTCGCATATATGACACGCTCAAAGGCTGCGGGTGATTATTCGAGTACAATTTGGCACAAAGCTTCGTGTCACGGCGGAAATGCGTTCGGTGGCATTGGCGCCTGACGTTGACAGCTAGGTTGCCAGTGGTATCCGGTCCTATGGCAACACATTCGCGCCGATTGCACGAGATATATGTTCTCTTAACCTGTGCTCCATCCACTGAGGCAGTATGCTGGGACGTCCTGGAAGATTTTGTACAATGACGGCGGACGCAATCTGTAACAATTGTTGATGTCCTGCGGACCCTTATATTACTGAACAGAGTTGTGCGGTATGTCATACCTGTAGACCTGTTTTGATCCCTCGAGGTGCCAAGATGACCGCAGATCCTCAAGTTGAACAGAAATTGTGAGAGTTTACTTTAGGCGACTTGTGAACGGACACTGATTTCTGGTCAGCTTATTCATACAGACCTCCCAGGTCTCTTTCATGGGTATGCAATCCAGGATCTATCTAGAGTAAACTGTCTGAGGACTAGTCTACCTTTCCAACAAGCTCTGTTGCTGTACGAGCTCACTATCACTTTCGGCCGGGAGGTCGATGTAATATGGCGGTCACGCTCAAGCCTACTCACCCTGCTATATTGCTTCAATCGCTATCCCAGTATCATAAATTCAATCGCATCTGTGGCGCTATTCTTCCCTATGAATGACTCTGTGAGTGGCACTTTTCTGGTCTAGTTTTGTCACTAACACCCTAGCTTGGCAGGCGTAAGGTCATATGCACTTTTCCTGAGTACTTACCTGACGCGTCTCCGTAGTTGCCAGGGTATTTCGAGGCTATACAATATCACCATGGTATTTCCATACATAACATGGATAGGTAGGTCAATGTGTTTGGCTCGTTTTAGATGTAGTGTAACATCCAACATAATGGATTAGCCTTTTCCGCATTTCGCGCCTACGCGCTGTCGAATAGAACAATCATAATTGGAATACTAGTTTTGGTATTGAGCTCGGGCTTTGCAGCCCTCACTGTGGTCAGTTCTTATGGTCTTTTGTTTATTGTGAGTACTCACGGCGAGGCCATCCATAGTGGCAGATAATAGACGCACCAGTTGATGATATGCCGCCTCCGTTCAACTGCTTTTCCCCGATCACATTCAACAAACAGATCTCCATTGGGTGAGCCTATAGCTAGAATGATTTCCTAAGCATCATGGCTCATGGAGGTTATATAGTGCGTGTTCCCCTATGCAACCAGCAACACGGCTCACATAGCTGCTACTAGCCGATGCGGTAATGAAGGGAGCCTACGTGGTCTGGGAGCTTATCATCATTGCGCTTACTCTCAAAAGGACTTCTCCGATACTTGTGACTTCCCAGCATCAACCCCCACGAGCGTTGGCAAGCACCCTACTTCAGAATAGTTCGTACTTCATTCTTCCCTGCTTTTGATGAAAACACTGATGACCTCATGAAGGTGTGATATGCTTCTCGTAAGTAACTGAGTCTTGGCCCCAAGTATTCCAGTAACGGCCCTCACACAGGATTCCTCTCGTGTTCAACTTGATTGTATTAGTGAATGCTTTTGCAGTGGTAAGTCCTATATCTTGACATCTGTAGCAGACATCGCCAACGCTCATGTTGAATAGACGTCTGAAAACGAGAACACCATTCGATCCAGAGTCATGATCATAGTCGGCAACTTGAGAGATCCGTAGGTCCCCTCCTCTCAGCTTCAAATTATATCGGCTAAATTTTACATTAGTGTGACAGCCATACTCGTCTCACGATTTCTACTCGATCTGGCAGAATACGCTCTTGGGGCCCATGAGAGTAACAATACATGGGCGAATATTGTGACCAGCGACGTCACCGTACATCCTTCTGACGTGCTCTCAGAGCTTCCTCCGGAGCAACGCAGAATATCGTTACATGTCGCTGCAGGAGAGGAATGACTTGAGACTGCAGAGTGCGCCGGGGCATGAAGGAACTCTGTCCCTCTCGACCACGACAGTCGACCGAGTCTCAGGACGGTAAGTAGTTCACCACCCCAGCTTATGCTTACAATCAGGGGAGAATTAGCCATTTACCTCTAGTACAGGTTCGCTCTCGATTGAGAAGTCTATTTGGTGCGGCGGAGCTAGCTTGAGTAACGGTCTCTGACTAATTGTCTTTGAACACTGGTGTTTCCCTATGTGGTTGTAGCCCCTACGGATTTTTTGATCGGGTATGTAGTCGAAATTGAATATGAAGCATTTAGCGGTCTCCAAAGATAACGAACTCCCAGTACTTGCTAGCTTACATGTGTGTTGCTTGGCTTGGCTAGTCGTGGGGGCTATTATTGCAAGGGAGAAAGGCGGCCTCAGAGGAGTCGACGGGCCGACAACGGCCCAACCCGGTACTGCCCGATCACACCTGGTGCAGTTTGCCCTTTGTTGACAGTGGATGTAAAAATCAGCGTCGCATGCCCCGCGCCGGGTGGTGTGCTCAGATCAGCGGCAGGCCCCTGCCGAGCCCCGCCAGCCTGCTCTCCGGCCACCTTCCAGCTCGGGGACACGCTCGCTGTGACTGCTTGAGACGTGCCCCGCCGAGCTATGCCGCTTTTCGAGCTACAGAATACTCTATTTCTTACCTGGGATGTTCCCTACACAGATTCCCGGCATATTCAAGTGCTTCCAGCTGTGGAACAGAGTTGGGTAATGGCTTCGGTGCGGTAGGGTTGGGGCTCGGCCGGGGTTTCCCGGTGATCCGAGCATACTACCCGGCGCGGGGCATGCGACGCTGATTTTTACATCCGCTGGAATCCGACTCTTACAGCTGTTTTCAAAACGATAGGCCCCTGCGCGGCTTTTTACGCACATTGTCGGACCATGGAGTTCAACTCCCGAGGTAACTCAGCACGTTAGCCGCACCCCTTCGATGTCTGGATGAGGCCATGCCGGGACTCGGACTTCGGATATCCCGCTGAACCCTGGTTTGGGCCGGCCATTTCGAAGTCCGGCCGTGTGTGTAAAAAGTCGTGCAAGGGTCTATCGTTCTGAAAACAGCTGTAAGACCTTTTCCTTCGCACACCGCCCATAGCGTCTTCGGATGTACTGACGTCTCATGTACGTACGCAGTGCAGAGGAGCTCTTACCGCGAGATTGCGCTAATCAACCTTCTTCTTGTAACTGTTTTGACTCCATCCCTGGTTGTTCCGCTAGCCCCTGCTCGTTGATTTACCTGTTCATGTCCCTTGGGATCGTGGCTCTTGGCTCGACTCAAACTTCACGACGACCTTGACGAGGGTCTCCTTGACGCGTGGGACTGCACTTGGACTGGTCCTTCACCGATACAGCGTGCGCGCAATCCGCGTAATCCCAACATGCCCCGCCCACCGTCACCAGTACAGCTCTACGAAATCTGCAGCCGAGGCACCGTCGTTTTCTTTTGCGCGGCGTCTGAGAAATGTGCGGGATGTGTGCGGTCGGGCTTCACGTGAGTCATCAGCTCTTCTCCGTGGGGGTTCGACCGAAACGTGATGCCAGTGTCGCCAACGAATCTCCAGACTATATCGACCTCGAACAAGAGCCCACGAACGTCCCCTTCCCTTCATCAGGGCGCGAAGCGGCCGAAGAGGCACACCTCGGCCAAAGCAAATCACTATGCGCTGGCGATGGGCAGGGTGAGGCTCGATCCGGGCAAGGTGAGTTTCATGGGACTCAGTTCGGGAGGGATCTGGATACAGATACGGATGTCGTTGTGCACAAAAGTCCGAATGAAGGTATGTGGCATACCCACCTCACGTTCTGCACGGACTGTCTTACGGCGGCAGCACTTCTCTCCGCTTCTGCGCGGACTTCGCGCGCGTTATTGTGGGCGCACTATTCATAGCCCTTTCTAACTGGACCCCTTCCTTCCGGCTCCAGCGCAGTCTGGTGCTCTACCTTTCATCATGCCTGTCAGAGTACTTGGCCTTCACGGCATTCATTGAGCCCGAGAGCGATGAAATCATATTCCAACCCTTCGTCGATCATCGATCATCACCTGTCATACATGTTCGCCTTACACGGTGAGATATGTATCTACGCTCGCCTGCATCCCAGGACCGAGCCCTCCCAAGAATAATCATCGATCATCAACCTCCACGAGCTCCGGTACGTCTCTTTCAAGCATGCGCCGTCAACGAGATAGCGAGGCGTGATTCAGATGCACCGTTACCACAATAACAAACTTCATTACAGTAAACAGTCTGTCGGGGAGGCATTCATGCGCTCAGAGTTGGAGATTATGCCGCAGATTGCGGAGGAGCGCAAGCTCGTGTCATGTCCGATGAAACTATACGTCTGTCTGGCTGCAACACATTACTAGGGAGCACAACTCACGGCGCCTTTCTAGTCTAGGGTCATATCCCCGCCATATTAGAGCGCATTGCTTCGCGCCATTTCTCAGAACGGGGGACCGAGCGATCACCATTTAATCATCTTCCCATACTTTTGGATCGTTCGGCGGTTGTAATATCGCCCCTGTGATCGCTTCCTGGCGGGCTATGGTGGCGCTTCTCTACGATCTTCTCCCAACCCAGTACGGAGCTGGCCCTGACAATTGCACGCTCAACTATGTTCTACTCCTGACATTCAGCTTTCATCGACTATCTACTTACTCAAGCACCTATGGAGACTTAAACATACGCCTGGTTCACCAGTATGCAGATCGTTCTATATCGCATCATCACTGGCCATCTGACGATGTTTCAGGTGGAAGGGCAGAATGCGTTCTAACCTCATCGAAGACCCCGCCCACTGTATTCATGCTACTCATCAAGCGAGGCCCAGTGGCAGAGACGTGTACATCACGAGTGTCTGCCGTATATGCGATTCTGCTTGCCACAGACATCGTTGCGCCAAGCGAGAGCGTGTCTCGCCCTCAGGCTGTAGGTCCCCGGAAACGCTGGTCGAGAGCATCAATACTCTACAGAGTCTCATTGTCCATACCGTGACCAGTGACGAGGACACTGATCATGTCGTTTGCACAAGCCTGCGTACGTACCTCCACCTCACCTACACGCGCCTTATAGGGGCTGCCATTGATGGATTACGTCTGAGGGTCGTGGATACAAGGCTGAAGGTTTACCGAATGGAAGGACGACGCGTCCGTCCCCTTTGATACCACATGTGCTCATACACCGCATCGGTCGTCAGCAGTGCAGAGAAGAGGCCCCGTCTGTTCTCTACAATCTCCCCAACGAGATAAGATGCCCAGCCACAGCTCGGTCAGGAGTTTGACCGGTGACCGGTGAATGTCTGGACATTAGAACAGATGTCACGTCTGCTCTCCGATTTGATAGCCATTCACGCGACAATCGTTACTTGATAGCATACACTTTACAGATGAACAGATTGAGCACAAGACTCGTTCCCCCATCATCCCCTGGTTCCCAACCCCGTGGAATACTGGTGGTTGCCGCACAAGAGCGACTCCCTGTAGTATGCAGCCACATGTACAATGTATTTACGATTGGGTTAGTGCCGTCTAACTCCACAAAGAAGTCGACGAACCATTGCTTGTTTAGGTGGAGGGCACTAGAATGGACGCCGTTCCGGGGGTGAAGCAGAAGCCGTCGTCCAGGCGTGTGCCGCAAGTGGACAGCTGATTGCAGCTATGCCCGCACCCTCCGCGGTCGCAGAACCCGACGTTGGTCGTTGCAGAGAGGCACTGCGTATCGGGTGCGTTAAGGCACTTGGCATTGCCTGTGTAAACGGTGCAATCGCCCCCACAGACGTCGTTGGTGCGGCGGTTGCAATACGTGACCGTGGTGTCTTGAGCAGACCGAGGAGTCAGAGGGTTGACAGTATCTCCAACAAAGGTGAGGTTCGCGTCGGTGTGGGCGATCCAGTACATCATCTGCTCATGGGAGACCAGATACGTTGTCGGCTTTTTAGAGACGTTGTGTCAGCTCGTGTTTGACGCGAGGAAAATGTTCTATCTCTACTTACGTCTCCTAGGTCAACATTGGGGTCCTTACAACAGTAAGCACAGATGTCATTGCTGAGCAAAAAATGGGCAAGGATATGTGACTCACAGTACCCAAGGGGGTTCCATTTCCGCCGTTTGCCCAGGTGAGCGCGGCCAGGACGGGACCCATGAATTTAAACGAGAGTTGCATGGTGAATTTGTGAATGCCGATATGGGTGTGTAGACGAAGCTAGGGCTGCTTGGACTACTGAATGTTGAGTGTACTACCCTCACCTTTTATACAGCAGGATTCCAACAGCGCCTGATAAAGCCAACGATATTCGTTTTTGAAAGAACATAGCTGTCGGACGTGTATAGGTCACCGATGACCGATACAGCAGCATCGTTGTCGTTTCTTACTGCGTGCAGGGCATGCGAATAGTCATCTACACTACCCTATTGACCTCTGACCGCACTGTAACCTCTGGCAAGGTCCCACATCGGTCAGAACAGTTGCATGGAAGTCTGGTAGGTCGACTCAGCTAGGATTCTCCACCTCCAAATCGAGGTTCTCCACATTGCGAACGGTACATAAGACACTGATATTGCCTCATCGGCTCCGGCGATTGAACAGAGAGATCAATGCATGCGACAATTCCGATGTATAATGAGACGTAACCTAGACTGGGCCGCCCCATTTGTAGCGGAGCAACGAGGACCTGTCACTGACTTGGGCAGTCTGATGAGAAATGTTTTACAGCTATTTTCAGAACGATAGGCTCACGTACGACTTTCTACACACTGTCAGACCATCGACTTCAATTCCCGAAGTGACTCAGCCCGATAAACGCACTCCTTCGGGTCGAGCTTAGCCTGGGACTCGGAGTTCGGATCTCCCGCTAGATGTTGGCTTCAGCCGCCCCTTTTGAGGTCCCGCTGTGTGTGTAAGATGTCGCATAGGAGGCCATCTTTCTGCAAACAGCTGGAACTATCTCATAATGTACTCATTGTGATGTCACATGATTCTCAGCAAGTAATCAGAAACCGCAAAGTACGGCGGTCCTAGCAACTCCGTACTGCACATCAACCAGCTCTGCCGGGGCTCGCCTTGTACTCTCTTTGTCAAGTAGTATAGTCAAAAACCGGTGAGCGCCACCATCTCAGGGAAGGTCTTCTTCTCCCGGCGGAGCCGATCGTATCCAATCGGTGATCGTACTGAGACAACCGAATGTCTCAACTTCTGTTATCGTTATTCGTGAGCACCACCCCGGAAGGCTACGGAGGCAGTTGCTTGGGAAGCGCTGACAACCAGGAATACATACTTGGTGAAACATGGCATGCCAACTCAGGTCGTCACCCAGGAGATTTACTTTAAACCTGTGTACGTGGAAGCTCTGTAGGCGGCACTCTGGGCCTCGTCTCCTTCCACTACCTCGCCTGGTGATACTCTGTCATGCGGCCTGGCGGGGCGCAGCCAAGTGTGATGCGCGGAGTCGTGAATCACTGATGCGCAACCCGGACGCTATGTAACAGATCATACACCCTTGGGAACGTGATACCCGGGCGCTAAAAATGCGTCAAAGATCTCGATACGTACCACGGATGTTTTGCCCGGATGGCGTGCGTTGTAGATGCAAGAATGGGAAGAAGGTACCTGGAACACTTGGAATAAAGGAACTCGTTATGACATACCAGACCTCCATTCCCCACTTTGACTCCTCGCTGTGCGAGCACGCGTAGTACGTCTCCTTATGCTATCATGTCTGCGGAATATGCAGAACGGACGATGTAAGCAGACAATACTCAGGTTTCATGTAACTAGCTATTCACCTTTGATCAGCATCCTCATAGAGGACTACCAAGTCTCCATTGCCGGTTCGTACCCAGCCATCGGATACAAATAGAAGACTGACCAAAAGGCAATGCGCTTATCAGCTCTGTTGATATACGAGTTCTCGATCACATTCGCTCGAGAATGCAATGCAATATGGGGTTCGCGTCCAGGCTTCTTCACCCTATTGTTCTTTGTCAACCGCTATGGGACGATCCTAAATGCAGTTGCGTTGTTTGTCCTCTTCTTTCCTATGGAAAACCAGGTAGGGCATCCCTCCTTCGTCAAGATATCTGACATTCATTCCGTTTGGACAGATGTAGGCATCTTAATGCTCTACTAGAGGCCCTTTCTGACCAATATTATCAGCTGTCAGGTGTTCTCAAGGTTGCAGGGTGTGTTGATGATCCTTCCGTACCTCTCCTGGATAGGTCAGTCTGTCGCGTTGTCATTCACTGAGCTCACAATACGATCTACGTCCTCGTGTAGTTTTTTCAGCCTTCCGTGCCTATGCTCTGGCAGATAGGACTTTGTTAATCGGATTCATGGTATTGATTCTAAGCTCGGGCTTCGTAGGCCTGACCATCGTGAGCGCAAGAGACATTGAAACGCTTCATGAAGCTCATTATGAGATAATCTCTAGTGGCAGTTAGTGCTTACTTCGGTACAAGACCTGCCGTCTCCATTCGATTGTTCTGCATCCATAGTCAACACCAAGCAGCTATCCATTGGGTGAGCCTCTTCCCGAGATCGATGCAACCGCTAGCTGAAAAGGTCTATATTAGTGCGTTTTTCCCAGGTTCAAACGAGCACTGTACTGAGATCTTTTTTCAGCTGATGTAGTGGTGAGGGGAACATTCATGATCGCAGAGATCATGGTCATTGTGTTCACGCTCAAGAGAACTTTGAAACTGACCACCCGCCGGAATCGCGGACCTCGGACTTTGATGAGCATAGTCCTTCAGAACAGTCTGTTTTACTCTTCTCTTCTGTTACTTTAAGCTCAATCAATATTGAACACAGGTGTGCTATGTTTCTCGTGAGTGAACCATCGACAACCCAGATCTTCGCTGATCACCTCCCCGACACAGGATTCCCTTCCTATTCAATGCGCTCGTATTGGTCAATTCTCTCACAGTGGTAGGCAGTCACAGTCCAAGTCTAAGCCCCAAAAAGGATAGCTTAGATTCAGGTGGACAGACTCAAGAGAATCAAGATCAGCTGATATTCAGAGCATTGCTCATAGCGGGCAACTTCAGAGACCCGTACGTATTCTCCGATCGTTCCTACTCTTGTAGCTGAGCAGACGGCAAGCATCACGTCGATTCTCATCTCGCGCTTCCTCCTCAATCTTGGAGAGCTGTCTCATAGCGATATGTCGACTGGGGACAGCTTGGGAAATATCATTTCGAGCGACATCACGATGCACCCTTCCGACGTGATATCGCTACATCTGCCCCTGGACCGACCGTCGAGTTGACTGTGGGGTTGAGGAGCGGAGTGGCACATGTTTCCCCTGTATAGTATTTGTGTACCAAAATTGGAGAGCGGTCGGACTAGTGGCGTACTTGTTCTCGCGGCTACTGAGCGCAGCACAGACATAGATGCGCATCGACGCTACGAGATCGCGTCCCTCGGCGAGGTGGCGAGACCTCATGGACCGGATACGAAGGCAATGATTATGCTGGTAATTTGGGGATTCAGCTGTCATGCTCTCGTTCTGCGAGCCGGAATCTTGCCCAATCGACAGGCCGGGAGAGCTCCTAATCTAGGTGGTGTTGGCTGCGACGGATTTTGGCGAGCTGCTCTACGAGCGCCTGGATTTCCTGACGCGGTCGGTTTATCGGCGGCCCGATATTTCTCGATGTTGGAGGTACCGAGCATAGCGAAAGTCGGGATTGCTTCTGAATATGATTATGAACCAAGACAATCTCCTCGTACCTGCTCACAAGTTGCGGGTTTTCCCCGTTGGTCCTGGTACTCAAACGAGTACGATTGCGAGGTCGACGGTTGCCAGCGGCAAGGCCACAAAAGCATCGGAGGTCGCCGGGTACGTCAGGCCACAGTGCCAGATCTCGCTGGGATTCGCTTCATCGTATTCTGCCCCTTGCTCTGCTTCGCGCCTGAATGCGCACCGTCTATGACCTCGAATGCGCCGAAATCTCACGTATGTGTGCAGTACAGAGGGGCTCTCGCTGCGAGATTGCGCCATTCCGACTTTGTGACTCGACTTCTTCCGGTGCGGTCGACCGTGCGCGTTGCTTCTCCTCTCCAACTCCCTTGGGACTACGGCTTTTGAGCCGGCTCGAACATGAGGGTGACTGTGACAAGGTTCTCGCTAGCGCGTTCGCATGGACTGGTCTTTCGTCGTCCCAGCACGCCCACCATCCGCGCGTTGTCCACATCCCTCGCGCACCATCTGGACAACACCGCCGTGATGTCCACAGCTAGGAAACCGGTGTTTCCGTTCGCACAGCGTCTGAACGATGGGCGGGCCCTTGCACTAGACGTGTGGACTATCTTCAGGTGAGTCATTGCCTATGCTTCCTTGCGCACGGATACCGAGGACGCAAGGGCAGTGCCGCAAACCTGCCTCCCGACTGCATCAACCTCGGCCAGGGGTACATGAACTTCCCGCCGCCGTCATGGACACGCGAAGCAGCGGAAGAGGCACTCCGCTCGGTTGAGGGGAATCACTACTCGCCGACCAGGGGAAGGGTCAGGTTGCGGAGAGCGATCAAGGAGTTCTATGGGACGCAGTTCGGAAAGGAGCTGGACCCTGATACGGAGATCGTTGTGACCAGCGGCGCAAATGAAGGTATGTCATTGCCATGTCCGCTTTGGCAACCATGGCGGAGCTGCCATGCTGCGGGTGCGCCTCAGCACGCCTGCGCGGACGTCCCGCGTGCGCCCCCTCGGGACCCCTAGACTGTCTAGTTCTGGGTTCAGCCCGTGGGTTCCCATGTCAGCGTAGCCTGATACCCGATGTTTTCCATGTAGGCCAATACGCTGCCTTCACGGCGTTCATCGAGCCCGGAGACGAAGTGATCATTTTCGAGCCCTTCTTCGACCAATACCTGCCATCCATCGCTTTCCAAGGCGGGAAGTGCGTCTACGTTCCTCTACATCCGAGTCCCGAACCTGCGCCGAACGTCAAGATCGGGAAGCGGTCATGGACGATCGACTTCGACGAGCTCCGGTATGTCGCTGCCAGACAGGCGTGCACGACGGAAGACTGATGCCTCAAGCAGACGCGCCGTCACCCCCAAGACAAAAATGATCGTGCTGAACACGCCGCACAACCCTGTCGGTAAGGTGTTCACGCGTGCGGAGCTGGAGAAGATCGCGCAGATCGCGGAGGAGCACAACCTCATCGTCATGTCCGATGAAGTGGTACGTTTGCATCTCGCTAACGGCTTGGATAGACGACTCATCGCCTGTTTTAGTACGAGAGGCTGGTCTTTGACGGACAGGAGCACGTTCGCATCGCGACTCTGCCCGGGATGTGGGACCGGACTATCACCGTGGGTTCGGCAGGCAGTCCGTAGACCTCCCTTTTACCTTCTCGCCTTCCACACGCTCATGATGCCTCCCAGAGCTGTTCGCTGCAACGGGCTGGCGCATCGGTTGGCTCATCGGCCCTCCCTCCTTGATCGGGCCTACGACGGCTGCGACCATTCGGATCGTCTTCAGCTCGAACACCCCTATGCAGGAAGCAGTTGCCGCCGGCTTCGAGCAGGCGCGCGAGCGCGGCTTCTTCGAGCAGCAGCTCAAGGAGTACGAGGAGCGACGGCAGGTCCTCATCGATACATTTGAAAAACTGGGACTCGAGTACACCTGGCCGGAGGGTAGCTACTTCATTCTTCTCGTGAGCAGGATGTCCCTCCATCGACGACGACTGGACCGCGGCTGACGAGCACTACTAGAATATCTCTAGACTCCGATGGCCGGAAAACTACGCGTTCCCTGCCACTCTTGAAGGTCGCGGACGAGACTTCAAGTGCGCACAAGCCTTCGTGCCCATATATTACCGCACTTGAATTCACCTGCTGTCTCTGTAGGGCCGCGTGGTTCATTGCGAACGAAATAGGCGTTTCTTCGATCCCAGTCAGCGAGGTGCGTACTACCGCACCGCCTGCTGCGACATACCTCACTTCTGGCCCCTTAGTTCTACTGCGAAGAGCACGTCAACATCGGTGAAAACTACGCACGGTTTGCGTTCTGCAAGGATCTCGATACCCTGCGTCGCGCCGGCAACCGACTTCAGCGTCTCCGCGAATACATCGTCTGATTGCGCAGGCCTGCAGACGAACACCCACGCTATGACATGCAGGGAAGATGAAGGTTGTGCATAAGAGGATCGACTACGGCAGTGTAGCTGCACGCCGTCCCATGTCGGCTCCCCAACAGGCTGCGGCATTGCTTTCTGTGCGTTCGAGGCCTTTACCCATTTATTACCGTATATACTTTCAGGGTTATTCAACAAGCACAGAAGTAGACATATCTTCCCTCTCACCAATACCCAACTTACGGCAAGGGTCGAGGTGTAAGTCAGAGTCGCTGCATGACTGTTGTCGCAGTCTCACACTGTGCGTTATGACGGAATTGTCATTTCAGTCACAAGCAGTCGAATAAAAGTAGCTTGTTTCTAGGGACTTCATGACGTCGTTACGGGCGCCCCATAATGGTGCTGCAACGAGGTTGGAGCTTGAGCTAACGGAGACTTAAGGTAATCGTAGTGATGAAATGGACCTGCGGGCTTCGTACGAAGCTACGATGCCGAAGAGCGGAGCGCCCGCTAGAATAAGTACACCCTCGTACCATGCTAGCCTGACTTCAGTACTGTGTCAATGAGGCATTCCACATACTGCGGCATACGGGCGGGAATTAGTATATAGTCAGGACCACGTTATGTCCGTCAAGACAATGGCGTCTGTCAGATAATTGTCGGGAATTCGGGTCGAACAGGTATTCGTTGCGGTTACCGAATGTCGTTGTGATATGGTAGTACATATTGAATGTTCTCCTGCGTCCAATGCTACAAAAACATGAACTGAGCACTCAAGAGCGCATGATGGGCGGAACTACAGACCCAGTTGACATCCAGGCGCAGCACAACTACAGGATTCCTCAGGAGACGTGTTCAACAGACGAGGTCATGATAGAGGTGCCGAGCCATGCCGACATGACCTTCTTCTCCTCCTCCGTGCGCACCGGTATAAGGCCGCGCTTACACGTCCATTACTGAGTCGCGACGATAACAGAGGCGGCCCAAAGGGTGGTAGAGAGATTGCGAGCAAGATCCGGTCAGCGTCCTGCTTATCTATGCACTCGTGGCCAAGGCGTCCCTTGGATTTTAGTCTCGTGAGAGTCGAAGCGTTGACCGACACCGCGATGAGAGCCTTTTCAATACGACTTGAATGAGTCACAAGACTTCTGGCGATGTGCTCTCTCAAAAGCCTCCTCGGAACTGACAGCTTCACAGATAGCGACGCAAGCTTATGGTAACGTGCGAACGTTTGCCCATGAACGAACGCCTTTGTGTAAAGCTCGCACGCACATACAGGCGACGTGTAGACCCGCCACAAGGATGGCGCTGATTCCAGTTTGCCACAGCGCCTGGTGCAGGGTAGGCGTTGCGGCGTGCGTTCGTCGCGGTCCAGCTGGTGGGGCTCGGGGGACCGCTTGCGCCTCCCGGACACGCATAACCTCGTTTCGCCTGCTTACTGATAGTGCCGCCGCGGCGGTACACCCCGATTTCCATATTGAGGGCTTCTACCATGCCGTGCCATCTCGACCGGCCTTCATATGCTCACGTCTCGCCGCGATAAGTGCGAGGGTGTGTCTCACGTTATCCGGGATCTGAATCTTGGAACCGCGCAATGTGACTATTTAAATGTTCGTCGTCCGAGTAAATTCTAGCTCGTAGACCCGGTCCATCGCTGCACTATGCTTCGCTCGACATACACCGCATTTCTGACCTTGCTCGCATTCCAGGCGTTTTGGTGCGCCTCCGCACTTCCCGCCTTCTCTGATGCACAGACTGTACTCTCAACCGAGCATCAAGACACGAAAGTCCTCATACTCGGTGGAGGTATGGCAGGCGTCATCGCCGCGCGGACCCTTCACGAGCAGGGCATCGACTTCATAATTGTCGAAGCCCGACACGAGCTTGGGGGAAGATTAATGAGCCATACCTTCGGGGAGGGTCCAAACCAGTGGACGGTTGAGGTAGGCGCAAACTGGGTACAAGGTACGCAGACGGGCAACGGCCCTGCAAACCCCGTCTGGGAGCTCGCCAAGAAACACAACATGTCCCTCTTGTCAAGCCACTATTTCGGCAGTATTTGTGAGCGTGTATCCGCTGTTTGCAGGGGATGACAGTACTTACGAACAGTCAGCAACGTATGACGACTCGGGTCCCTACGACTTCCAAGACATATTCCGAAAGTCAATTGAAGATTTCCAACATTTGACCGCCACAGCGGGTAAGTGTTTGAGGTGCCGATATGTCGATGACAAGAGTCAACTCACCTGCCATTTACAGGTGCTCGGGTTCCGCATCGGCTGGTCGACATGACTGCCCGGGGCGGATACGCGCTCTCGGGCGCGACCCCGACCTCACGATACGCAATGGCATCGGAATATTACCAGTTCGACTGGGAGTTCGGCGCCACGCCGGAGGAGACGTCTTGGCTTGCTTCGTCTTGGGTGCATTGACATTCTTTCTCCGCAGCTTCAACTGGCGAGGACTCGCCGAGCGGTGTGCATGTGCAGTGTAAACCCGCAGTGAAGTCTTTCCGGTAGAGGTTGGCGCATCCCTGTGTCCTTGTTGTGCTGACATGTTTTATACGGTGCTTTGCTATCAACCTTCGGCATACCACTTCGCAGGCGCACAACAATACCTTCAAGACTTTCTCGCCCGAGAACCTGCTCTCCGTTGACCAGCGCGGATTCAAGACGTTGATACAGGCGGAAGCTGCAGAATTCCTGAAGGAGGATCAAATCCGTCTGAACGCTACCGTGTCGACGGTGACCACAACAAGAAATGGAGTGTCTGTGATGCTAGCTGACGGCACGACAATATCGGCAAATTACGCGCTCTGCACGTTCAGCCTTGGAGTGCTGCAGCACGACGATGTCAAATTCATCCCTCCGCTGCCCGTATGGAAGCAGGAGGCAATTCATAGCATGGCGATGGTGAGTACGTCTAGGGCGGTTTTTCAGCTAGAGCCCAAAGCAACGAGATGGGACAGGGTACATACACGAAGATCTTCTTGCAGTTTCCTGAGAATTTCTGGTTCGATACGGAGGTAAGCGCGTCCACAGGCATCTCGCTACAACTCGCAGACATTAACCTGAGACATTATGCAGATGGCACTCTACGCCGACCATGAACGGGGCCGATATCCCGTCTGGCAGACGCTCGACCACGCAGCGTTCTTCCCTGGCTGTGGAATCCTCTTTGTGACGGTCACCGTGAGTCCTAGCGCATCCCTCGACTTTTAGCGCGAATCACTCACCGAGGGGTACACTCCCCATGCATTGGTTGCGCTCGGTCCGCTCCGCTCGCTTGTAGGGTACCTTCTCTCACCGCATTGAGTCTATGTCGGACGCGGCTGTGCAGGCTGAGATCCTCACCGTGCTCGGGACCATGTTCCCGAATGTGACAATACCTGAACCTCTCGACTTCTACTTCCAGCGCTGGCACAGCGACCCGCTCTTTCGGGGCTCCTATTCGAACTGGCCCGCGAACTTCCTCAGTGAGCACCAGGGCAACTTGCGCGCAACCGTCGACGATAGGTTGTGGTTCGCCGGCGAGGCAACAAGTAAGAAGTGGTTCGGTAAGTTGATCGCGAGCCGCCGTCCAAGCCACGACTCACAACGGACTCAGGATACCTCCACGGAGCCTACGCGGAAGGAGAAGCCATCGCGCTGGCACTCGTGAGGTGTATCAAAGACGGCCTGTGCGGTGGGCTTGAGCACCGGGAGCGGGTTCGGAATGCGCTTCCGTATGATATCGAGTAGCACGGGACGAGGAGTTGGTGATATACTTGCCTACTATGTGGTATATCAGTAATGTCTGCATCACATCACTGTCCATGAGAGACGCACTTGTATTTAGACCCACTGCGTTGCAGATTCTATATGCGCCACGAGGTCCAATACGTCAAAAGCCCATCGTTCTAGTTCGATTTTCGTAGCGCTGCGTGACCGGTGGGATACATACAATGATCTACAGCCTGGCCTTCAATTAATTGATGATAAGTTAAGTCTACACGAAGTACGGCATATTTCCCTGTGGCCGACATAAGTTTAACGGCATAATGCCTGACGAAGACTGCACACTTACTATCTTCCTTGTCTTCTGCATCCCCTTATCCCTCTCGTTCTCCGGTGCAGCATCATAGACAGTGAACGATCGATCACCGTCATCGCGAATCGTCAGGATGGACGCCATGTTCCCGCACCGATAGCAGTAGTTCGGTGCGGACCATACTGTGACCAGCTGCTCGTCAAACATGTACTTGTAGCCCTCTTGTACGAGCTGATGCGCCCGGGCGATTAGCTGGAGGGAGTTGACATGATTGAACTGTATCCAATGTACATGAGTCTTAGGTTAGCCAAAACACAACGCGAAACAAGAACGGACCTCTCGCGTTACGCTCCCTCCGAACAACCAACCCGCTCCTCGTGGACTGACGGCCCAGTTCTCAATATCGTCCGGATCCGACCACATCAAGTCTGGCGGTATGGAGCAGGGATATCTCAGGAGCGGTCTCATGCCAATGTAGCAATAATGGCTCACCGCAGAAGGCGCCTTCGTGTGGGATCTCCTGTGCTCTCGATAGGACTCGAATCTGGTCTAATGTTCGGATATCCGGAGAGAGACCGCCATGGACACATAGCGTCTCGCCGTCGATAATCTTCGGTGGGAGATGAACGCATATAGAGATGAACCTGGACTCGAGCTACGTACCGCTGCCAGATTCAAGTAGTCAAACACGCTACAGCACGCCTTCCATACCTGAGCAGAGCCGTACTTTTGTTGGCACTCGTCTATGCGACCTCCTCAATATCCACCTTGGAGATTCAATAGACAGTACGTACCGTAGAAGCCATAGACCTGCGTTATCTGCCTGCTCTCATGGTTTCCTCGCAGCAATGTGACTTTGTCGGGGTATCTGAGCATGCCTTTCAATGATAGCTCCTTGGTGGAAATGTATATTGCTAACTTGGCCTTCAGGACGAGCAACAACGACACCGTCTCAAGACTGTAGTGCCCGCGGTCGACGAAGTCACCCTGCAGACTGTCTAAGCAGCCTTCTCGAATGGTATGGAGGAATACATACGTGCCATAAAGATGTAGCTCGTCTCTGGTACCATCCCACCCTTCCTCAATAGCTCGAGCAAATCCCAGAACTGTCCATGGATATCGCCGCATATTGTGACCGGACTTGTTACAGGTTGAATGTTGGACTCTTCGAGTAGTATGGAGCGCACGCGCTCGCACAGGACCTTCATGTCGGCCTCGGGGAGGTGCTGACATTCCAGGAGCATCGAGAGCCATTTGTCCGGATCGAAGGAGGTCATCGCGCGTGGAGCAAGAGCGAGGTGAGTAGTAGTACAACAGTTAGTGAGAGTATCAAACGAAGTCAAGGCTAATGAAGGAGTAGTAGGACACGGTAAGAGCGGACGATGATGGAAGAGACGAAACAAGAGCCGCCGCCGTCGTCAGCGACAGCGCCCGAGGCCTCATCCCCGACGATCACCACAACCTACGACTAGAACGTTCTTCGGGGCCGATATATCGCAACTCACACACATGGACGAACCTTGACAACTCCCATCACCCTCGCTGCCCCAACGAACTGGCCAGTATGTCGGCAGAGAAGGAAATAACGCTACGCGAGTCGTCGAACTCGACGCCGAGGACGAAGCCGCCTCCGAAGTCCTCCATGATCCCAGTGCCCTTCGTCTACAATCCCAGTGATGACGGCACGGACGAAAACTTACTGATTCTGCTTCATGGGCTCGGTAAGCATCGTGTCCATCGCCTGCGCGGAGACCACTCGTTTGACTCCCTTCCGTAGGCGACACTCAGGTCCCGTTCGGTAAGTTGGGACGCCAGCTGCACCTCCCACAGACGGCGACGCTCGCACTACGCGCGCCAGAGCAGTACGTACTGCAATTCTTCAGCGGATCTGACATACTCAGTGTGGATCGTCACCCAGAATCCCGTTCCTTTATGAGCAAGCCTTCCAATGGTACACGTCCTTCGACCCCCTAGGCGAGCTTATCGACCGGCCGAACCCAACCCCCGCACTAGACTTGATGTCGAAAGTCGTCGAGCATCTCACGAAGGACTGCAGGTGGCCTCCACACCGGATACATCTCTTTGGCTTCGCTCAGGGCGGCAGCGTGGCCGCTGAATTCGCCCTCAAGTATTGGCGGAGCGAGCTGTCGCTGCACCAGAAGTCCCTCCCATCCTTCGACGCGAATTCTGGTTCGGACGCCAGCGAGCATGCGCCTCGCGCGTTTGGGTCTATCGTCAGCGTCTCAGGGCCCCTTCTGTCGTACCCTACGCTGTCTAGACCGTGTCCGACGCCCTTCTTGATTCTCCACCGCCCACCACCTGCGGAGTCCGCATTAGCTCCAGACGCGGTGACGGCGTTGAGGAAGGGTTTCACGAAAGTCGAAGAAGTGAAAATGAAGGGAGAAGGCATGCCCCGCTCGAAGGAGGAGTTCGAGCCGATTATGCGCTTCTGGAGCGAGCACCTTGGCCGGAGGCAGATAGAAGGGTTGTATGAAGTCATGAGCGGGATGGCGGTCCCGCCCCATGAGGCACGTTAGTAGACTGTGGCTTTTGTGAGTTCACACGTTCAAGCGCGACCCATCCGACCCCTTGCTACTGTCACGGTGCTATTTTTTTGACTCTTCCTTTACGTTGCAGTCATGCACGTCGATCATGAAACAGACGCCAGAAGTTGATTGCCGCTCATCCATTGAGACTCGGTGAGTTTTCTGAGCGGCACATAGCGGATGTACGGGTAGACAGCATCTGCGTAACTCGTCCGGAAGGGATATGTGCAACTGTGTTCCTTGAGGCGGTCTTGTCTGCAAAAGACTTTGCACAAGTTCATAGCGACAGTGCGTCCCGGAGTTGTGTAGCGCACGTCGCTCGCGAGGTACCTGCCTCTTCAGTGTAGTCGTTTATGCTACATTTGGGATCCATCTTTGCGCTCCTAGGCCGAACGGCACATCCACTTTCGCGACGAAGCTCATACCCGAAGATGTCTAGTCTCGAGGGATGATCTGTCGCAGACATCCACAATTCTTTTGAAGTAATTCTAGCATCTTCTTGACGGCCCACGTTGCCTTTCCCCGTCTCCCAATTCGTGCCTCGTGGTCCCTCGTGGAGCGCGCGCGCGCTTGAAGGCAAATGGGCGAACATCCGAGGGTGCGAGTTCACTGTATTCTCCCACTCGGCGTTCCCGCTAACTAGCATAGGCAGAGCAGGTTGACTATGGACATGGGTATAGCGTCTATGGAGATTTGAACCAACACGAGACAACATTTAGGGCGCTACTCTGGCTGTGGGAGTACTGCATAGTCTTCGGGTGAGTAGCTCCCCTGCGGCCGCTTCCAAGTCGCGGCGCTCAAGTGCTGGGCTTGTCGTCAATATGCCAAATACTGGATGACCATAGAAGCGAACCCCTCCAGGACTACAACACTTCCTTACGTGGCAATATTCATTACGTCAAATCTCTGAGAAAAGATCAGCCTTACAAGGCGACTTTGAGCGGCTGGTGCTTTCCATCATCGGGCTTCTTAACGATGGTCCGAGGGAGCTCTTGCGACGGCTCCCAGTGGCTTTGCCCTCTCGGGGACAGCCATCTTACGCCGGATTCAGACGTTACGGCCATCACGTCGATGTAATCCTCGGCAAATTATGACGAGAGAGTGCATTGAGTACTGGAGGTCGCGCAACACCGCCGAAGGCAACATTCTCTCCCGGCGCAGGCACTTGCGGGGCGGCTTCGACAAGGCGCGTTCGCCGTGATCCCAGCCCTCACTCACCAAATATCGTTAGTGGTGAGCAGCGGACTGAGGGTGATGGTGGATCCACAGGCTAACTGAAAACACTAGGTCCTGGGAAACGGCTTACTGTGCTCTAGGACGATATGTCATCCACTGCACGCACCTACCTCTTTACCTCGCTAGCGTCGTCGGGTTCGAGCTCAGAACGCGAGTATAAGCGAGGGGCGTGCCTTTCACTTCGTTTTGCCGTCGCCTCACCCTCGCGAGGCATGGTATAAACGTATCCCGCACACCCCGAGATGCACCTCGATCCATCCCGCGACGAGCGCAGCAACCCACCACGTCTTCGTTCCAATTCTCTGAACTCCCCGCCTAGCGCGACGCCCGCTCTGTCGCCGCTATCCGACTTCCTGTCCTCGGCTGCCCTCCCGCGATGTCTGTCGTTCGCGACGTGTATATATCCTACTCGGGGCCGAAGTCGCTCGATGACCTTACCAAGACCTTCGCGCAGGTCGCGCCCTCATTGCGGCTCGCATTACTACCCGCCTATGTACTCCAGATCGTGCTTCGGTGGCTGCTCGCGGCTCCGACGCGTGTTCGCGAGGCGCTTCGGCGGTATCTTCGGCGGCTGCGGTCACGAGTGCGCTCGCGATCACGTATACCGCGATTGCACTTCGCTCAAGCGGACGCGAGCGCGGAGAAGGCGTGGCTGACGGTCCGATGCGAGAAGGGAACGGTCAGGATGAGATTGCGCGACTTCGTATGCTCGAAGTGCCCAAGTTTACTGGAAGAGTTCAAGCCTTCGAGATTGCTGTTCAAGTTAGTAGCATAGTTCCATGTCTTACGCTTCCGATATTAACAGGCACTAGTGGACATCTACAGACTGCATATAGCGCGTACGGAGACTTTTCCGAAGTTGACAGAATAATGTACGATAGGTAAGGCATCCTCCTATGTCTAACTCTATCACATTCTCATTTACGCTCTAGAAAACTGATCCGACTGCTGGACGGAGGAACGCTGTGAGGCGCTCACGGCATACGCTCATCTCCCTTCGACTGAACTATCACAATTTACGAAGTTCATTAGACTTCACACCCCCTGAAGATGAACGACGCCTACCAGACGATATCCCTATCATTGTCACATTCCATGGTTTGACTGGAGGTAAGGTCCGATCTCGATCGGCTTGAGATACCTTCTCACCGCTATCATGTGTACTCCAGGTTCGAATGAAGCATACGTGCGCGCTATCCTTGCTCCCGCATGCGCGCCAGTCGAGGAGGGCGGTCTAGGATATCGTGCGGTCGTCGTGAACTACCGCGGTTGCGCGGGGACCCCGGTGACAAGCGAGAAGTTGTACCACTGCGGCAACACAGATGATGCGCGGCAGGCGCTGATGTACATATCGCACCGGTATCCTAAGGCGAAGCTGATCGGGCTCGGTTTCTCACTGGGGGCGAACATACTTGTACGATATCTTGCGCAAGAAGGCGAACAGAGTCGGCTTGTTGCGGGATGTGCACTGGGATGCGTGAGTATCTTGCGGTCGTCTCACATGTATGCGCGCTGACGTATCACGGACAGCCATGGGACTTGCACTCTGTAAGCTATAAGTGAGTTACGACCTCAATGATTTATGAACCCAATTTGACGTCTGGACATCAGGCTGTCTAACGGAGCCTGGGTCGACCGCATGTACTCCCGCATGCTCGCAGAGAACATGGCGACGCTCATCAAGGCGAACAAAGACGTGCTAGCCAACAACCCGAAGCTCGCGAAAGCGCTCCCCTATCTCTTCTCACTTCCTTCGCCAACTCTCTGGGACTTCGACATATATTACGCGTACGAAGAGAAGACGGAGGAATTGGAAATGCTCGGTACCTTTAGGGATCAAGGCGACTTCTATCGCTGGGCGTCCAGTCATACGGCCCTCTCCGACGTACGCGTTCCTCTTCTCGCGATTAACGCCGACGACGACCCCATCGTCCGCGATCTGCCCGTGGACGTCGGTGGCAACTCGCTGGTGTCACTGGTCGTCACCCAAGGTGGCGGCCACCTTGGGTGGTTCGCATCTGAAAGGAAATTATTGCGCAGGCGTCGTATGCGATGGATCAGGAGACCTGTGCTGGAGTGGCTGCGGGCGGTAGGACAGGATCTTGTTGTTGATTTTCCGCGGTGCCAGCCTCTACGCGAAGTACATGGGTTCATATGCGAGGTAGGGCGCACAGGGCTCGGATGCAGGCAGGTTGATGGAGGAGGAAAGTTCCCAGGTGAGATGCTCCAAGTGGGACGCACGGGCTTGATGGCTGGTTTTTGAGGCTTCATGTGCCTTGCTGTACCCTTGGACTATGTAGATTTGGCGCTGCGTATCAGTGTCATAGACATGTGTCCTGTTCTTAGCAACTCTTCGTGTCCCTGTATTTGACTCTAAGCTATCTCTAACGCCCTCGTGGAAGAGCACCAAGTATCATTGCGAGTCTGGTACATATCATTATACACAGTGCGCGTGTACGGGGTATGCAAGGGGTATGCGGGTAATAGATAGATGACGGAATGATGATGCAAATCCAAGAAAGTTCAGCGCAAGGGTAACGCTGGGAGGAAACCATGCTCTCGTGCTCAAAGGACAGGCTAGACTAGCATACATCGGGCAATCGACCTTGCGCCCACATACAACTCTACGCAGAGGTCTATCTATATTGGTCATGTCATACGGCGCTCCACCCTGTGCGGTGGCTGCCCTCGGCATCACTGTCGAAATGCCTTCCGTTGTACTCCTCGTCGAGGGAGTGCAGAGATGGTATGTCAGGGGCACTATGCGACCAATCTGTGGTGAGGAATCCTTGGTGTTCATCGGTCGCTTCGATTGTGGTCGCATTGAGTTGGGATAGGTCGAGAATAAAGCGCGATAATACTATAGTCACGAGGCTGTCAATTGGCTCAATCAGCATGGTAAAAGGCGAGACAAGATGGACCGTACTGACGCATCCCTTAATATACCCCAGTTTTCCAACGATATTTTTGAAACAGAAGTTTGCTGTATGGCGTCTCAGCGTCGTACGTAACATACGATGTTGATAGGGTTGCAGTTGAGCATTATACTCACCAAATCTAAGGGAAAGGATATTGCACTCAAGACCACCGTCATGCTGTTTGGTATCGTGAGCGGAAAGACAACGAGGGCAGCCCCAAGCGTACTGACAAGAAGCAGACAAATCCTAAACAAATTCTCTTCAGTCACCGGTATAATTTTCTTGCCAGTAGGTACGTACCGTTCTCGAACAGAACGTCGGAAATTAATGCACGCCCCTTTTTCTGTTTTGAACCAAGCCACGCTCCGTATGTCTTCGTGCAAGTCAGAAATAGAACTACCGACTCGGCGATAATGTTCGCCGTCCGTGTAGCAATCATCACTGAGAACGGTACTCATTCAGTGATGCAACGAGATAGGCAAAAGTATTCAGTATATTTACTGCGGGGTTTAGGTGTTAGAGAGGATCAGTACATACGATACAGGAACACACTGACCAATCCGTTCGTAGGTTTATAGCGCTGGTTGTCACCTCTCCCGTACATCTCGGAGGGGTTCCCGAGTAGACTAAGGACATTGTTATCAACTGGAACTGGAGAGCCCAACATGAGGATAGAGACACGACCGAGGCGAGATTGTTTTACTTACTAGGCTGGGTGCAGCGAATGACGCACTGGAAAGGGACACGAAAAGGCAGACGAGGACGCTCTTTCCGGAAAGTGCGTATGCTCTCAACCCCAAGAAAGCTGCCAAAGTTCCTGTGTGTCAGACAGTGGGAAGGCGAGGAAGAAATTCAGGAATCGACAGCACCTGCCCATCCAAAATACGGAATGATGACAGAAATCGAGCTGATGATATTCAGTGAAGTGCACCTGTTTAGACATATCAGAATTGTATCAAGACTCAGAGAGGCAGGCATGCCACAGCGCACATCTGCAATTCTTCGGTGAGAAAAGGAGGAGTAGTGATGCCTGAAGAGCACTAACGAGAGAAGAGGCAGAACCGAAGACCAAAACCATCAAATTCAGGACGACACTTGCGAGTTGGAGGTGCCGAATGGCCACATATTGTAGAACAGTACGCGTGCCTCTACGAGCCCATATGGAGCTGAGTTCATGGTCGAACGTTAACAGTGTATCGTATAGCAATAGCGCTGCGATTTAGTGAGTACGCAAGTTCTCTCATGTAACTATCGACCACTCACCTATCCCGGCGAATGCAAAAGCTAGAGCTAGAAAGCTACCGAGGTCGTCAGTATTGACATGCAGAAACAACTAAGCAAATACCTCTGTTCCGCTTCTTCTGCGGCCGTAGTGAGCAATGCTGATGGCATTTTGAGGAGCAGTACAGAATATATGGCGCTTGCGGGTTTGGCGAGAGAAGCTTCCTGCAGTAGGTCCTGTCACGCACTGTATTTGAAGGAGCTCAGTGTCTTGATCTTCTAGAATCTCTGGCCTGATATTGATGTCTCTGACTGAGATGATCTGACCCTCCGTGCTGATTGAGATATGCGTCGGTCGTCCTGACACCAGTTTGCAGAATAGGTTCAGAGTTTGACGAAGTACGTTGTGTCCGGGTGTTCTCATGTCCCGATGAACGATGTATCGTAACATATCTGCGAGGGGCATCTGCTGCAAATCTCCCGAGATCTGTAGTGAGCGTCCACGAGAAATGTGACGCTATCAACGATGATGAGGTGGACGCTCACTACAGATCTGTTGGCGCGGCGCGTATCCTCCTTCTCACGTGTCACGAGTAAGCTGCGACATCAAGCTCAGCTCATTCAGAATACATAACTTGTCTGGGTCGGTACCAACGTGGCGTGTAGAGTTAGGACGGATCAGGCGAAGGTCTGGATTGTGGACAAGAACGTTCTATTCAGATTTATTTTTTGATACCGTACCGATGAGTGCCTTAGGCCGCCAGTCTTTGAGTCCAATGCTGCACTGCCTGATCGGTCGGCCTTTCAGACAGCCAGCCCTCTATCTAAGCATTTGATGACACCCAAATTTGTTCCGCCACACCCTGTACAACATACAACCCATGCACTAGCCGAAAAGCACAAACAGTAGTAAGGAGCAGCCTGAGATGGGCATCCGATGGCAATCAAGCGGGTTTCAACTACGTTTAGATAGCGAAATACCAAGTTCATGAATCCGATTTTGAGTCGCAGGCGTTGTTGTTGGCTACCGTTCATCTTATGTGCCTGACTAGGGTCAATTTCCTGAAAAAAACCAATGAGCAGGCGGTCGCCGAGCCATACGCACAAGGACTAGGCGGCAAACACTGGCTGTGAGAAGATCTGGAACTGAACCGGTTCAGAACAGTAAGGCGCTTTCATCTGGATCTGAAGCCTCTGCGACGAGCCAGCTCATCCGCGACTTGCTAAGTCTGCATCTTAAGCATGGAAATTCGCAGCGTCACCTCAACCCCTCCCGATCATCACCTGTTCACGACGGGCATTCACCGGGTTTAAGGACCTCTTGGTTGAGGGGCGAGTGCCTGTGAACAAGTGTGTAATCGGAGTCTGGTCGGAGTACTAACCAGTAGGCCATTCGAACTTGTGCCAACTGGGAATACGTGTGAATAGACGGTTTCACGAACAAAATAGTGCATTGGATCAGAGCATGTCATCGCGATGTTAGCAGGAGCCCCAGTTAAGCTTCGAATGAATGGATTATTCAAGGGGACATCCACGGGTGCGGTTTGAGGTTCGAATAGATGGACTACTCGAACGGGTTATATACGTCAGCTGTTTGAGGCATTAACACACCGGTGAGTCGAATATGTAAGGAACTTAATATATTACAAGTAGCTCTGTCTAGTACACATGTGAGCTACCAAGCAAGTCTGGTAAGAAAAACTAAGAAGGTTGCATCTAGTATGGGCTATATACATCCATCGGGTACAAACAGAGGCAAAGAACACACTAGCCGCCCGTGCTGGTATTGCGCCC